CTCTTCAGTCAAATACTCGGCTGCCTTTTTAGGTAGTGCGAATTCTTGTCGAAGAAGCTGGAGCAAATATAAACCAGACCACTAATACAAGTAGTACACCACTTCGAGGAGCTTGCTACGATGGCCATTTGGAGATAGGTAAGATTTGTGGTCTATCCTTTCGAACTTCGATATTTTCTTAGCTTTTGAGAGCTAGCATTTCACATTTCTATAATAATTTGGTTGAACAAACTGAAACCGTTGATCCTTCCGTTTTCGTTCTTTTTTCTATATCGATTTGAGCCGTGCGAAAAATGGCTGCTCACTTACCGTAAGCATCGTTGCTGACTTTACCATACGTCTTCTCGGTGTTGTTCGCCTTAGAAGGAAGCATTCCGTTTCATCAATTTTCTCATCTTGCTGAAGACCCGTAAACTTTTGTGAAGACCCCAAATGAGACGATTTTCGTTGAGCTGCTTCTTTGAAACCCGCTGAACTCTTAAAAACTCGAGACATGTGGGCTTCTCCATGTACAGCCTGTCACAAGAGCTTACGTGTTCCACGAGATAGCCTGCACGATCTTCGTTGAGTGCCATTTCGTAACTTCACAGGGATTACATGTCACAACGAGGATAAGAGCTCTTAGAATGCCCCCCCCCCTGAGGAGAGCATTACTGTGCTCAAGTGCAGCACGTCCGTTTGACATTGAAGGTTGATTTCTTTGCTTATCCTCATTATGCCAGCGATCTTTCAACTGGAATTTTCGTGGATGGTCGGACACTTGGATTAAACTGCAAATGTTGCAAATGACAAGCTCGTGGGCCTTTTGAAAACTACTAAATCTGTGCAAACGCCGGAATTTCAGTGAAGAGAGCTTTAGAAAGCTTCGACATTATAAGGGTTTACTCGATGAAAACTACCTCTAGGTGAAGTTCGCCGTGGGGGGGGGGGTCGGCATTTTGCAATTTCGTAAATTACTCCTGTTCGTTAATGTTTTGTAAGAGGTCTTACAGTGATCATACTTTACAAATCCTAAGAAGCTGCAAAATTGTTCGAGTGCGCCACTTTGGTTCCAGAAATTCAAAGGTCTTCATAAGGAGGCCTGTGCACGCTTAGCTAAGTATTATTTGGTACTTCCACCGAGCCGAACTACGCTGTGTCCTCAAACTGAGTTTCGCCTTTTCCGTCCTTGCTTGTCCGCCTTTTAAGTTTCCTCTTATTCTGAGTCCATACCGTGGACTACGAAGCTTTACTAAGCTGTTTCATCACGGTAATTCCACTTCTGTACTTTTCCAGAAGGACATTTGCACGATCTATTGTTCATTGTACTTCGAGAGTTGCGTGGTGTTATACGTATAGCTCAAAATGTCACGTTATTTCGTTGTAGAACGCTGAGCAATCCTTCGCCTAAGTGTTTATTCAACAGCTGGTTGAAGTCTACCTCACGCGCTATTACACTGCATGAGCATCTCCACTGTCAGTAGATATTGCTATACGTAAAATCGAAGCGATATTCCAAATCCACTCCGAGACTGATCGTAAGAACGTATAAAGGCGTGGCACGATAATTTGTTACTGGGTCTTAAGTGGTAACAGGGGTGCTATTTAGTGGAAAACGTTGTAAAACCGAAATGAAACGGTCAAAAAGGCCTTTTTTTCTAGACGTGTCAGAAAGCGTCGGATGAGTTTCCTGTTGGCATCGTGCCAACGTAACCGCCGCGGTAGGTATGTTGTATGGCAGCATTTTGTACACATGTATCCGTGCAGCACGCACCCGCTTCATATCAAGTCCCTTCGCTTCATATTGTACTTCGCAAATGAAGCGATACGAGCACCAGCATCGGTCGGACATTTGTGGGCGGAGCGAGCGCGGTGGGTGTTCGGGTCGGTATGTTGAAGGGTGATAGAGCGCTATAAAGATACTTTTTTGGAAAAGGCGCCAGCTCGTACTCAGAGGCGCTGAATTCCGCGCTGCTAGGCGTACTAGTCCTGCAGGTCTCAAGGATTTATCGTGCCACTTGCCTTCAAGCACCAATTAATTACGAGCTCCTGTATTCCGAACATTTCCGCTGTTTTGTCACCGGTTAGGTGTTACAGTGGGCCTAAGCTGCCGTCGCGGCACAAAGTACAAAGGTTTGCATCTGGCCGCTGAAAAGGAGGTCGTACTTGCCTTTGTGTAAAATATTGCATTTGTTGAGTTTAGTTGGTGTTTCCGTTTCACGTGTAATATCTACGCGCACACCCCATCTCCTTCCCCCGCTCGAGCTCAGTTTTCTTTGGGGAGGACAATTCCGGAAATGTGGTAGGGAGTGCTAGGTGGGAAGGAGAATTGGAAGGGATGTCGTTCCAGAGGAAGGAGTCAGGCGGTAGTATTTTGCGAGATTTTCTCCAACAACAGGACCTGCCTTGGCACCGTAGTACAGCTCCACACATTTTCTCTATTTTTGTGGGTGAGCAGAGACTGCCCTAGTTCTGTGTTGACTCTCATGTACTAAAGCCCGCCCGCAAATGTGAGGTGACTAGGCGCGTCCCGATGTTGTCGTTGCACTGCGGAGACCAG